AGCGGTTTTGCAGCGCAGTTGCCGACTGCAAACGCTGCGAAGTAGCTGCAGTAACGCTACAATTCAGCTGCGGTCGACTCACTTTCTTGAGCGCCAATAACATGAATCGCCAGATAAAGCCTTGGCACAGATTTAAGAAATGGTAAACGTGCAGCGTGCAACCATGGAGTTATGGATGCACGCGGGAGGTTGCTAAGCACGAAAGAAGCGTAAGAGTCGCACGAGGCGATAGCCGAGTGCGACTCTAGCTGCTTGAGTGCTTAGCAAACCTCCCAAGTGCATCCATAACTCCATGGTTGCACAACTGCAACGTTTACCATTTCTTTTATAACATAATCAAAAGAGAAAAACATTGTTTTCCATTTGCCTTCAGTTGAGTCATCGGTCGGAGTTCATGTATGCTGCCATCTGCCCGCGCGTAAACAAATCATGTTCTATGTTTTTCAAAAACTTGCCTTTGAGTTTTTCTTTCGCTGAATCAGCCATTCTCCGTCTTCAGGTAAATTGCAAAACGTTTTTTGTTGTTATTGTGAATGGCATCTGTCTACTTGCTCTTAAAATTAGGGTAAAAACTTTGAGGGAAAACTATATCTGCAACTATAAACACCAACTAAAAAGACTCTAAAAAATAAGCTAAAACTAAATAAATGGAATAATTATCAAGCTTATTTATGTGACAATTTTTGAAATAAACGTAAAGCAGAAATGAGAAAATTTGACAGTAATTCCTTTAGAATAACAGGTAACACTAATTTTAAAAAGAAATTAACTAGCTTTGTATCGAAATCTGTCTGGGGAAATCCAGCTATGAAAGTCAACTGAAATTCGCTGACACACAGTCGGCGCTGAAGCTGTTGTTTTTCGACTGTTCCTTGAACGACTGTTATGAATGAACACTGAGGAACTAAATAATACACACAGAAGTTATTTTTTGAAAAATTTATTTGAAAACCCAAATGTTTCTGTACTTAAATGAAATTCGCTTATTCCAGCGTTATGTGCCCGTTTAAACTCAACTAAAATTGTTAATCGATGCGATGAAAACTTCACAAAAAAGCTGTCTCGAATTTGAGCGTGTTTCCTAAAATATTTGCTTGAATTTAGCATCAGCTTGACCAAAAAGTCAATAACACAATGGTAATTGATAAATTTACATTTCAAACAGACTTTCTCCTCTATACAAAGACACACAAAATGTACCTTAAATCTTCGCTCGCTCGATTTTCCTCCAGCCGATTCTAGCCGCGAGGAAAACAGTGATTAATTCATCCAGGGCAAATTTGTCGCTTGATCTTTAGTCTTTTTTCCTTCAAAACGACAGCTTAGTATTTTCTTCACCTTCCACTTTTCATCTGTGCATTTCATCGGTGTATTTTACCGTCAGGAGAGGAGATTTGTTGAATTTGCCTAAATTTTACCGCGCTAGCTCAGTTTCTTAGCGTGCACCCACGGGCAAACGGTAGTGGCTAACTGACCAATCAGAGCGCGCGATTTACTTTTGTTATGTTATAATACGGCTTTTATAACGCGAAAACTTTGACTGTACCTCTAAGAAATGTGAGTAAGCTTGTGCGCAAGGAAGATCACTTATTGAATAAACCTCCAAATTCTATGCTTTCGGAATAAAGATTTCAATAAATTTCATTCCGTGACCGGCGAGTGTGGGAATGTTATCGCCGATTCCCTACAGACATTCTAGGCCGTAATCTAATTGGTCGGTCCTTCTGCATGAGATCCCATTACATCGCTAGACAAACACGGGATCGCTCAAACATTTGCGACCGTTGAATGAAAGGGGCGTCGATAAAACCCGGTACATGGAACATTCCGGAACATCCCGGAACATCCCGGAACATGAAAAAATTTTTAAAATTTCAAAAAAAAAAAATAAATACATTTAAATAAGGCAATAAAAATACTTTATATATGACGAAAATAGACATAAATACATAAGATAAAAACGAGAAATAAAGAAAGAAAATGAATCTGGTATCTTCTCCGAGTATAAGAAAACAATATTTCGTCGGAATCACGAGAGGATGAAGCTTTATCCTCTCTTGGTCGGAATTGATTTGCTGGGCGAGTGAGGGCAGTTCCATGCAAATGATAGTCATGATTGAGGGCTCGCCTCTTTAAAATATAGTAGATGGGGTTGCGAAGAGGGGAATTTTTAAGCTTTCCTCACACAGCCACCTCCTGTAATGGTTTGCCTTGAATCAAGAGAGAATCATTTGACGGTTATCCATTTAACAAGAGCTTAGGGGCTACTAGCTTTGGATTTAACAGGAAAGATTTATATTGGTGGTAGATACTATACTGTTCACAGTCCCCGATTTTTCCATTTGGTTGAAGATGGTGATTGCGGCCATCTTGGTTTCTAGTGTAAATCAGCTCAGCCTGTCGCATTTTATGCTCGTAGAACGACAACAATTTTTGGAATTTCTGGTTACGTCAAATTAGTCACGCGTTATACTGTCACGCTATATTTTGGGGCCCAGAGTGATTGAGGAGGAGTGCGTGAAAATAGTGCAAATCGTTTCCTGCTTAGAATTAATGGCTAACTTGTTTATTTTCATTCATAATGGTGGAATTTAAAAATTATTATACAGCCCCCACTTAAAAAATGGTACTATTTTTTTTGGTTACGAAAGTCTTTCAAAAGGGTACAATGTTCTGAATGAGTTTATGTTTCAGTCTCACATGAGATTCTGTCGCATGCAATGGTCGGCGACAAGGTTTTATGGTAGCCTGAGCTAGCCTGAGTGTGTATAGCCGCCCCCTCCCCTCAGAAAAAATTGCCCCTTTGCAGCCCTGTTAAAAATCGCCGTTCGGCGATTCTTGTTTTCATTCATATTACAAGCCAATTTCTTTCTTTCTTTAGTTTTATTTTTGGGCTCTTTAGTTATGTTTGTATTTATTGTCTTATTTATTTCTTGTTATTATTTTTTTGAAATTTTAAAAATTTTTTCATGTTCCGGGATGTTCCGGGATGTTCCGGCATGTTCCGGAATGTTCCATGTTCCTGGTTTTATCGACGCCCGAATGAAAGGCGCAAACATTGTAAGTTTTTTTGCATCTAGTTCTGTTTCGAGATGGAAGTTCTGTTGAAGTTTTTGGATGGAACAGCTCAAACGTATTTGCAAACAACGCACTGAACAGTGACTTCTACGCTAGGTATCGACGAATCGAACCAGAGCAAGAAACACAGATACAAGAATCTCAGATGGGGTTCGCACTTACAAGATTCTTATACGCTCGTGGTAATGTTCGTTCCTTAGTCCATTGTAAAATTTATCGACGACCAAAGTAAAATTGGGCTGATTTCTTTCATGAAAAAAGTGTAGAAGATCGTGGATCATGGACAAAACGTCAAGGTGAGCAATGTCCAGCTTAGCCCGTTGCAACGAATCAAAATATCATTTGCCTGCTGGCCGTGTAAACTTTATGTAGAACAATGGCTGTTATTCTCTTTATTTTTTAAAAAGATAATTTTCAATGTCTGCATGTTAATGGATGTTCTTACATTCAGATGAGTGACCGTGATTGCTAAATATTTACAAAGCGAGACTGTTGCAGATTTGTTCTATGGCTCGTGCTTTTGTAACGTGTACGCGTGGATACTATTAAAGTATAAGTTGCATTTTGACTTTCTAGTGGTTTTTAACCCGAGGGTCGTGAAGGGGCAAAATGAGAACTGGGATTAGCCTTATTGTGAACTGGGAAAATGGGATTTACTCACTGGGACTGGGATTTAGCCACTGGGAATGGGATGAACAATTATAAAATGGGAATGGGATTTCTTTTCTTCAGCGGTCTTTGCTCCAATATCTTGAAATAGAAAAATAAAATTTCGTAGCAATAGACCTTGCACTCCTCAGTAGAGACCGTGAAATCAGTATTTTTCGCCTTCGCGCCCGCGGTCTAGCTACCAGGCTTACACGGTTGCATAGTTACGTTCTGTCAGTTTTCCTGCTCAGTGGACAAGTTCTGCAAGTTTGCATATGGCGGGAAGATATTGTGAAGGGAAGATAAAAATGGCTTTGGAAAAGGTTTCTTCGCAAAATGGTACTAGAAATCAAGTACGTCAATGCAAATAACGCCGTTATACACACCTAAAATTTGGTAACTGGGATTTTGGCAAAAATTAGCCTGGGAACTGGGATTTGGGCCAAATTTAGGCTGGGAACTGGGATTTGGTACCCCCCTTCACGACCCTCTTACCCTGCTACTAAGGTCTTGTCAACTTCTCTACCACGTATGGTGACTATTGTATTAATGGAGCCTGCATTTCTTTTTTCTGTACTAACGAGTGGTAGGCCATTACCGGTAACAACATTCTTTGTCTTTTCGAAGCCACTTTGCAGCCACTTTGCAGCTCAGATCGTGATTCGCGAATTCTCTGCACCCCTGCAAGGGACAAGGGCTTTCCACTGCAGCCAAAATTTGCGGCTGCTGCAGCCCAGCGCTTTTACAGCTCTTTGTAGCCCTTCTTCAAGCCATTCTGCAGCGCTGCTCGTTTCATACCATACATACGGGTATTCAGGGTATACAGTAATACTAGGGTAAACATGGGTTCACAGGATATATAGGGGTATACAGGGTATGTAGTATTACTAGGGTAAACATCAGTTCACAAGGGGTATACAGGGTATCCGGTATTAATAGGGTAAACATGGGTTTTAACATGATATATCAGGGTATACAAGGTATACAGTATTACTAGGGTAAACATGGGTATACAAGATAAATAGGGGTATTAAGGGTATACAGTATTACTAGGGTGGGATAAACAGGATATACCAGGGTATAGAAGGTATACAGTATTACTAGGGTAAACATGGGTACACAGGATATATAGCGGAAAAACAAGGTAGTAATGGAATGTAAGCTTGTGCTTAATGATATTCTTATGTCCTTTTTTACATTGTAAGGCGCTTATAACAGCGATGTACAAGCGCTATATAAATTCCAGTATTATTGTTATAAGGTATACAGCATTACTAGGGTAAACATGGGTACACAGGATAAATAGGGGTATACGGGAAACACAGTATTACTAGGGTGAACATGGGTACACAGGATATATAGGGGTATAAAGTATATAGGGTAAGCATTGGTACACAGGATATATAGGGGGATACAAGGTATACAGTATTACTAGGGTAAATATAGGTAAAAAGGATACACATGGGTATACAATTAGCTACACAGTATTACTAGGGTAAACATGGCTATACACAGGATATATAGGGGTATACAGGGTATCCAGTATTACTAGGGTAAACATTAGTAATCATGATATCGCAGAGCATTACAAGGTGCAGTATTACTAGCGTAAACATGGGTACACAGGATATATAGGGGTATACAGGGTATGTAGTATTACTAGGGTAAACATTGGTTCACAAGATATATAGGGGTATACAGGGTATACAGTATTAATAGGGTAAACATGGGTTTTAACATGATATACCAGGGTATACAAGGTATAGAGTATTACTAGGGTAAACATGGGTACACAGGATATATAGGGGGATATAAGGTACACAGTATTACTAGGGTAAACATGGGTACACAGGATATACCAGGGTATACAAGGTTACAGTATTACTAGGATAAACATAGGTACACAGGATATACCAAGGTATACAAGGTATGCAGTATTACTAAGGGTAAAGATGGGTACACAGGATATATGGGGGTATTAAGGGTATACAGTATTACTAGGGTAGACATGGATAAACAGGATATACCAGGGTATAGAAGGTATACAGTATTATTAGGGTAAACATGGGTACACAGGATATATAGAGAATACTTCATGGAAAGTGCTGGCGTACGGTATTTACGCACGAGTTGTTGACGTATCAGAAATCGAACGAGTGAGCGCAGCGAACGAGTCAGATTTCTGATACAAAAACAACGAGTGCGTAAATACCGTACAAAGTACTTTCCATGTGGTATTGTGTTTATTATATACATACTGAGACATTCATCATTTTGGCAGCCTTTTTATTTTAAATCTTTCAAAAATGCTAAAATTTGCCGCTACACACTTACCGCAAAATGACAACGAAAACGAAGTATCCGCTATTTAGTAAAAACGTTTGTTAAAAACATAAATGACGGTGAGGATATGAAATAATCCAAGAACTATAAGTAATCTTAACTGTTTGTTCTCAATGCACAATTGAAAATGAGTGAATTTAAGTAAAATGGCCGGTTTCAATGTAAGCTTAAGCTCAAATGAAAGGCAAAGTAGCTCCGACAAAAAGCACAACAAAAGCTTACGTCTTGTTCTGTTTTTCCCTTTCCGCTGTTGTTTCGCCAGCCCTCTACCGTTTTCTTTATCGACAGTGAAACAAACAAAACTATTCCACTCCATTTCCGAAATGTTTTTCACTTTTTTAGCGAGAAAAACTCTTTGAGTAAAACTTTTCTCGTTGAATGTGTGCGAAGCGGCGCTGCCAGCTGCAATAAAAGGCGGGAATTTTGGCGCGAAACTCAAACACCTCTGTGGCTTCCGATTGGACGTATCATTTTTCTCACACGTGAAAAAACATCGTTCGCGATTCTCATTGGACGTATCATTTTTTTTCACGTGTGAAAACCATCATTCGCTCCTCTGATTGGCTAGAACTAATTTGCGTATGAAAATTTGCGACATAGCTTTTTGGTGAGTATTTCTCAGTATGTATATAATAAATAGGAGTATACAAGGTATACAGTATTACTTGGGTAAACATGGGTACACAGGATAAATAGGGGTATACAGGGTATCCAGTATAACTAGGTTTAACATGGGTAAACAGGATATACCAGGGTATACAAGGTATACAGTAATACTAGGGTAAACATGGATACACAGGATATACCAGGGTATACAAGGTTACAGTTAATTACTAGGATAAACATGGGTACACAGGATATACCAAGGTATACAAGGTATACAGTATTACTTAGGGTAAAGATGGGTACACAGGATATATAGGGGTATTAAGGGTATACAGTATTACTAGGGTAGACATGGATAAACAGAACTAGGATATACCAGGGAATAGAAGGTATACAGTATTACTAGGGTAAAAATGGGTACACAGGATATATAGGGGTATACAAGAAAGGTATACAGTATTACTACGGTAAACATGGGTACACAGGATATATAGGGGTATACAGGGTATCCAGTATAACTAGGGTTAACATGGGTAAACAGGATATACCAGGGTATACAAGGTATACAGTATTACTAGGGTAAACATGAGTACACAGTGTAAATAGCGGTACACAGGGTATACAGCATTGCATGTAAACAGGATACACAAGGGTTTTTATTACTACAGTAAGCATGGGTAGACAGGATATATAGGGGTATAAAGGGTATACAGTATAACTAGCGTTTCAAATGGGTACACAGGATATATAGGGGTATACAGGGTATCCAGTATAACTAGGTTTAACATGGGTAAACAGGATATACCAGGGTATACAAGGTATACAGTATTACTAGGGTAAACATGAGTACACAGTGTAAATAGCGGTATACAGGGTATACAGCATTGCATGTAAACAGGATACACAAGGGTTTTTATTACTACAGTAAGCATGGGTAGACAGGATATATAGGGGTATAAAGGGTATACAGTATTTACTAGCGTTTCAAATGGGTACACAGGATATATAGGGGTATACAGGGTATATCCAGTATAACTAGGTTTAACATGGGTAAACAGGATATACCAGGGTATACAAGGTATACAGTATTACTAGGGTAAACATGGGTACACAGGATATACCAGGGTATACAAGGTTACAGTTAATTACTAGGATAAACATGGGTACACAGGATATACCAAGGTATACAAGGTATACAGTATTACTTAGGGTAAAGATGGGTACACAGGATATATAGGGGTATTAAGGGTGTACAGTATTACTAGGGTAGACATGGATAAACAGGATATACCAGGGAATAGAAGGTATACAGTATTACTAGGGTAAAAATGGGTACACAGGATATATAGGGGTATACAAGAAAGGTATACAGTATTACTAGGGTAAACATGGGTGCACAGGATATATAGGGGTATACAGGGTATCCAGTATAACTAGGGTTAACATGGGTAAACAGGATATACCAGGGTATACAAGGTATACAGTATTACTAGGGTAAACATGAGTACACAGTGTAAATAGGGGTATACAGGGTATACAGGATTGCATGTAAACAGGATACACAAGGGTTTTTATTACTACAGTAAGCATGGGTAGACAGGATATAAGGGGTATAAAGGTTATACAGTATAACTAGCGTTTCAAATGGGTACACAGGATATATAGGGGTATACAAGAAAGGTATACAGTATTACTGGGGTAAACATGGGTACACAGGATATATAGGGGTATACAGGGTATCCAGTATAACTAGGGTTAACATGGGTAAACAGGATATACCAGGGTATACAAGGTATACAGTATTACTAGGGTAAACATGAGTACACAGTGTAAATAGGGGTATACAGGGTATACAGCATATTGCATGTAAACAGGATACACAAGGGTTTTTATTACTACAGTAAGCATGGGTAGACAGGATAATATAGGGGTATAAAGGGTATACAGTATAACTAGCGTTTCAAATTTTCAAATTTTGGATTCACCTTGAAAATCAACCCCCTGACAGCATCGCTAAACTCTTCTTAAACATATCAGATAAAATGGTCGAAGAAAATAAATCAGGTCTAATAAATAAAATAAATCTTTCGAGTACACTACTTAATATTCATAAACAGTCAGTTAACTTTAAAAACCCTTCTACTTTCCTATCCAAAGCTGAGAATACTTTGTCAAAACATCTGAAAAACCACCAGCTAAATTTGATAAGAACAAATAAAAAACTAAAATTCTACTTCATCTTTAAAAATGAAACAAATCACTCTGAATTCATCAATCATATCCGGAATCCTGAGCATAGGCGTGTAGCTTCCAAATTTAGGATAGGAAATCATAATTTAAAAATAGAAACTGGAAGATTTACAATCCCCAAAACTCCTGAAGACCTTAGAATCTGTGATCATGCAGCCAAAATTCGGTTGAAAATGAACTGCACATATTATTTCACTGTGATCTATACAATGATTTGAGAAAGACTCTTTTTATTAAAATCAACGACCGAAATACATTATTTACACATTACAATATCGATGATAAAGTCTGTTTTCTTTTTAACAATACTGATTCACATATCAGCAGGCTAGCTGCTAATTTCATCTTTCAAGCATTTGAAAGACGAAAGAAACATAGTTAATTCTACTATTCCATCATACCTGTATTTCCTTAAACTTAGCTGTTTATTATTGTTATTTTAATCGGTAACACCTGTACAAAATGGTAATACTGAATAAACTTGTTGTTGTTGTTGCATAGCGTTAACATGGGTAAACAGGATATATAATAGGGTATACAGTATTACTAGGGTAAACATGTAAACAGGATACAAAAGGGTATAAAAGGTGTATTACTAGGGTAAACATGGGTAAGACAGGATATATAGGGGTATACAGGGTATACAGTATTACTGGGGTAAACATGTAAACAGGATACACAAGGGTGTTTATTACTAGGGTAAACATGGAAAGACAGGTTATATAGGGGTATAAAGGGTAAAAAGTATTACTAGGGGAAACATGGGTAAACATGATATACCAGGGTATACAAGGTATACAGTATTACTAGGGTAAAGTTGGGTACACATGTTAAACAGGGGCATATAGTATTACTAGTGTAAACATGGGGAAACATGATATGCCAGGGTATACAAGGTATACGTTATTACTAGGGTGAACATGGGTACACAGGATGACTAGGGGTATACAGGGTATACAGTATTACTAGGGTACTGGGTAAACACGGTATATAGGATATATAAGGTATACACTATGACTAGGGTAAACGTGGGTACACAGGACATATAGTGCTTTACGGGGTATACCTTATTACTGGGGTAAACATGGGTACACAGGATATATAGTGGTATTTAGGGTATACAGTATTGCTAGGGTAAACATGGGTATAGGATATACCAGGGTATACAAGGTTACAGTATTACTAGGGTAAACATGGGTAAACAGGATATACCAGGGTATACAAGGTATAGAGTATTATTAGGGTAAACATGGGTACACAGGATATATTGGGGGATATAAGGTACACAGTATTACTAGGGTAAACATGGGTACACAGGATATACCAGGGTATACAAGGTTACAGTATTACTAGGATAAACATGGGTACACAGGATATACCAAGGTATACAAGGTGTACAGTATTACTTAGGGTAAAGATGGGTACACAGGATATATAGGGGTATTAAGGGTATACAGTATTACTAGGGTAGACATGGATAAACAGGATATACCATTGAATAGAAGGTATACAGTATTACTAGGGTAAACATGGGTACACAGGATATATAGGGGTATACAAGGTATACAGTATTATTAGGGTAAACATGGGTACTCAGGATATATAGGGGTATACAGGGTATCCAGTATAACTAGGGTTAACATGAGTAAACAGGATATACCAGGGTATACAAGGTATACAGTATTACTAGTGTAAACATGAGTACACAGCTTAGATAGGGGTATACAGGGTATACAGTATTACTAGGGTAATCATGTAAACAGGATACACAAGGGTTTTTATTACTACAGTAAACATGGGTAGACAGGATATATAGGGGTATACAGGGTATACAGTATAACTAGGGTTATAAACATGGGTAAACAGTCATATATAGGGGTATACAGGGTATACAGTATAACTAGGGTTAACATGGGTAAACAGGATATATAGGGGTATACAGGGCATACAGTATAACTAGGGTTAACATGGGTAAACAGGAGATATAGGGGTATACAGGGTATACAGTATTACTAGGGTAAACATGTAAACAGGATGCAAAAGGGTATAAAAGGTGTATTACTGAGGTAAACATGGGTAGACAGGATATATAGGGATATACAGGGTATACAGTATTACTGGGGTAAACATGTAAACAGGATACACAAGGGTGTTTATTACTAGGGTAAACATGGGAAGACAGGATATATAGGGGTATAAAGAGTAAAAAGTATTACTAGGGGAAACATGGGTAAACATGATATACCAGGATATACAAGGTATACAGTATTACTAGGGTAAAGTTGGGTACACATGGTAAACAGAGGCATATAGTATTACTAGCGTAAACATGGGTAAACATGGTATACCAGGGTATACAAGTTATACAGTATTACTAGGGTAAACATGGGTACACAGGATAAATAGGGGTATACAGGGTATACAGTATTACTAGGGTAAACATGGGTAAACACGGTGTATAGGATGTACAAGGTATACATTATTACTAGGGTAAACATGGGTACACAGGATATATAGGGTTTTACAGGGTATACCTTATTACTGGGGTAAACATGCATGGGTAAACAGGATATATAGTGGTATACAGGGTATACAGTATTATTAGGGGAAACATAAGATAAATAGTGGTATACAACGTATATTAGAGATAACACAACAGGGAGTCTATATGGAGACTGCCATGAATTACTTGCCGAAGATTGAGGACTGATGCCAAATCACAGGCGACTAAATGGTATACTTGCATGAAGGATATAAAACGAAGCGGAAGTTCTCTGCGCTGATTCTAGCTGTTTTTATCAGTGTTGCCATCATGGGATGATTCAATCTTTTTACCAAGCGTTTGATTATGCAGGCATGAAGAAATCTCAGTAAAGATTGCTTCCGCCCAGCTGCATTCCTGAATTTTAGGTGAGCTAACCACCTGTATAGACCAACTAGACCTATACCTATGTAGTTGTTAAGTTTGAGAAACTTAAGATAATCGAGGGGTACAGTATGTTGCTCAGTATCCCGGGCGGACGGTACTAGTATCCGGACACTTAAAACTCAATTTTTGAGGCGCCCTTTTCAGTTCTCTATGAAAGCTGAACATTTCAGCTTTAGCATGAAAGTTATGGTGAGTTTAAATCTTGCGAAACAGTCGCAGAAGACGCCGTTCTGTTCAGGTGTCAGTAAACTTTTCATGGCTAATATTTTCGCTGTTTACTGGGCAGTAAAATTAGTGCTGCTCAGAAAAGGGTAGGTAATATGTGATATTTTCAAAGAAACTGTTTTATATTTAAAGTGAAGATACGTAAAGAAGTCAGGTTCTGAGAAATTTATTAATTCTTCTTGAAATTTGATTTGTTTGGAATAACGGGGGCCAGAAACATTCACTTTATAAGTATTAATTTCATGTGCCAAAGTATCCGGACAGTTGTTTGTTTGCTGTACAGAATCTATGAATTAGCCGTGTACATTATCCGGATAAGATTTATTTCATATCTATAACTATAATTAAAGCTTAGGATATATGATATAGACGTAAAATGTAATTCTACTCAACTCCGTATGGAAAATTTCTTCACTCATCCAGAGGGGACTTGACTTCGTGTGCACGGCTTGTTTCGCGTGACTGCATTTTCTATATGTAACCGAAAGCTCGAGAAAGCGTCGGACTTGAACCTGGAATTGTCATACTTTCCCCAGTTGTGACTGCTAGAATGGGGCTGCAACAGTCTGAAAAATGTCACAAAGGGATTAAGAGATGTAAAAGAAGGAGGAATTAGTGCTAGAAAAGTAGGCTCTTTGTGAGGACCGAGCATGAAGAAATTAACACTGCAGGTCAGACTAAATGGGAGAGTGATCTTTGACCGTCGGATTGAGGCCCCTTCCCCAAGCTTTTTTTCTTTAAATAAAAAGTGAAGAAAAACAGTCGTTTGCAGATTGGCTAATTGAGCTTGCAAACCGCGGCTTCGGCATGTCCACGGATGCCTTCCTTAAATCACAGGAAATCAGTGAAAAATTTCTTAGACAAGGAAATACGAATTATACCATTTAACAGCCGCTCGCGTTCCCCACCATACCCCAGTCATTTGTTATATTACACGATGCTAGGGTATATTTTTAGAATCCATCGTCAGACTACTTTGCAAGTTCAAGAGAAGCTTTTAAGTCGCTTGCCTGTCGAAATTTATGTATAATTTCGTTGTTATTGTTGTGTCCGGATACTGGGTCAGCTGTCTGGATACTGGACAACATAGGAGCTCTGCAAAAATATTAATTTCCCAATGGAACAAAGGCAAAAAACTGTCTTTCGTCATATTAAGGACTAAATAGATTTTCTCTGGGCAAATTTTAGAGCTCTTGCGACTAACAAAGGAAAGTTATTGCGATGTTGAACTGAAGTGTCCGGATACTGGGAAACATACTGTAATCTTGTCAGTATCCAAGGGCATCTTGATTAAGATACCCGTGGCCGCTTGTAGGAACGCTTTTAAGAACGAAGTATAATCATAATAGTTCATTTCAGTTGTTTAACGAGATGCAAGTAAGTGGCAGGGTATTGTGGAAGAATCTACTGCACAAAATTGCTGCCGAAATTAAAATTAGTGTCGAACTTTAACCAGGGATCTTCTTTGAAACGGTCACTTGGACTTTCTAAGATCTCCTACAACTGATTGTACTATAATGATCTGTGTATTAAAGAACCACATGTCAAAAGAACGATAGGCCAATGCAATAGCGAGTTATTTTTCAGGCTCGTACTTCTCTAATCAAAATAAATCTGAATGCTCTGATTGGTCATTGCGTTGAAAAGCCCAAATTTTGAATTTTAGAAAATGAATTAATAAAGATACCTTGAGGACCCTTGAGAGTCGTCATTCTAACAACATTTTATTTTGTCTATCGCTTTGATACATGTATGTTAAAAAATATAACATCCTGTATATTTTTTCGGTTATAAGGCTCCCTCGGTTATAAGACACACCCCAAACTTTTCAACGCAATTTTTCTAAGGTAACAAGCTGAAAATTAAGCCAAAATACCCAGCTATATGGCACAGCTGCTATTTTTGGCGATGTTCATCTCAACTACAACAAAACGCTTTCCAACGACGCTGATTACAGCCATTCACCTATGTGAAACATAGGCACGTTTTACGTGCATGAGCTATTTTAAATGCTTCGGTGCAACAGTATCGGCAATCTACAGTCTTAATCCTAAATTAAGAGGCCCTGTTAGGGGGTGCCCATGTCCTCCGTCTGAATTTCACAGCCAGCTATGTCGCAATTTCGGAACATTCTCGTGTCACCTGTCGGAATTTGTATGTGTAATCAGATGGTGACGAGTGAAATTAGTATATCATTTGATTACCTATTAATATCATGGATGACGAATTACCTTAGCAACCGAGGATTTTTGACTTGTTTATTCTGGATCGTATCGATTGATCGTGAACTCCACTATCTCAAACGTTTAGAGCTGAAATTTGGCGTAAGTTTTCAGAATTTTTCGACAACATACCTCTAAGAATCCTTCTTGATCTGCTCTTTCGTGTGTTCAGGTTTTCTAAAGCGTCTTTTTATGCCCTGACATCTTCATTCATGACATTTTAAAACTTCCTCGCCATCTTGAAACGGAGACGTACGGCAGGTTGCCATGGCAATTTAGTAATTTCACGTGTGAAATTACAAATTAACGCTGAAATTTCGCGCCAAAATTAAAGAGTAATTCGTCACCTATGATATTACAATAATAATTTTTTAGCTCGTTGCCAGTCTGACAATCCGCATTCGCTGCAACGACCCCAACGGAACATACGGCCTCTATCCTTAGTACTTTTAAGCCTAGGGTTTTAATACCTTTACAAATGTTTGATATTCATTCAGACTACTTGGAATAGTAATTGAAGTCAATAAAATTCCATTTAGTAAACTATACAAGTGTAGAGATATATTTAAAATGGCTTGGCGTGAATCGAGGCCTAATCTGGCAAAACGCTCGAGCTATAATAACGTTTCTAAAATTCTAGTAGTGCAAGAGTCTAATGTTTCTTCCGATTAACGTTAACTCTGATTTAGTTGTCAGACTGTGCTTTTCCGTAACTATAACAAAGCAGGAGGAAGGACATTATCAACCATTCATTATCTGTAAGGCATGCGTTTACAAGAAGTCTGTGAAAAATAGTAAAAATGAACTAAAGGTCCAGACGATTTGGGCGGATGACAGTTCTCCCGGATGTTGAGCGAAGTGGCATTCCTCCAAAGACGACGTCTGCTGGGTTTTTCTCATCATCAGAGTCGAGGCCGCTGTCCTCTTCACCGCCTTCTTTGTCTGGCAAAAGGTCTTCCACGTCATTTTGGTATCGAAGAAATGTCTCGTAAGATAGCTCCGTCAATTTCATAGAATCGTACCCTTTTTCAAAATGCTCTTCCCCCACTTTATTGACGATAGCATCTGGGTGGATTCGTACGCTTTCATTCAAAGTAAACAGCAGACAGTCTTCAAATGAAGAAACAAACAACTCAATATCACACCAAGAATTCTCTTCCTTGTCGGTGACATCAGCTACGACAATTCCAACAAAGAAGGGTCCCCTGTTCGGGTATCCACGTATGTGGTCGCGCTTGACGACCACAACACTATTAGCCTCAAATATAATGGCTTCTCTGCCAGCTTCCTGCTCAATCTCCGTGACCACCGTTTCTCTAGCTGTGAGGTCGTCTGTGGTGGAAAAATCTAATGGTCTTGGAGGCTGATCTGGTGTTGTGTATGCGAACACTGGAAGTGTACCTACATTGTCCTTGGTACTTTGATTTCGAACGCTAAAGATTTTTCTCTCACTAGCCACATGTTTTAGATAACTGGAAATAATACAAGAGGAGTGACCTAAGGCTTGTAACATCCCACTAATTTTCACGCGTGCGAGTGCCGGCAATCTATAAATGACCATTTAATATGAAGATTTGACTCACCTGGTCGCTCTCTTCTTTCTAACTTGTCTTGCTTTTCTCGCTTTTTCTTTCCCTTTTTGTGTTTTTTGTGTTTTCCCATGCCGTTGATGCCGTGAACGACACTCCGACGACTCGCTAATGACTCTGATAGTGATGTATTTCAATAACTCGCTTACCATTTGGAACACCGAGATGAACGCGATCGATAAAGAAAAAAAATCTCTTTGACAGATTGATGGAGCGCACACGTGGGTCATGCAAGGAGGAGAACATGATACGCAAAGCAGCACGGAAAAGTCCTCAAAGGGAGTGATGCACTGAACACGTCAATCAAATGAAATGAACAATCAAAACAGCAGTAAAATGAGACGTATTTCTGTTTGCCTTTATTGGACCCTTATTAGCCATTATTAGCCATTATTGATCATTATTTAGTAATTTCTACTGAATAGTGTACGCGCAAATGTTCTGCAGGACATTCTCAATTCTCAAATTCGCTGTCGGTCTGTCTTGACATTGGTGTCGCTTTCGCTAATTCGTTGCAATAGTCTGTCGGTCGTCGCCAGTTCGTGGCTCTCATGTCGCCGGTTCAAGGCCATGTCGCTTATCAGAATTTACCCCTAACAGGGCCTCAATTAAGGCTATGTTTTGTGCGAAATTGGGTATTGCTGTACGTTAATGAAACAAGAACCTCAGCGCAAGCTGACTCGATCTGAAAAATTCACTCTTCTTTGTCTTTCCTTCAGACATCTGGTGCAAAATAAACAAATTGTTGAAGTGCTATGAATATCAACTCACCAAACGCTGCTTAGAGGGAAGACTCGAAGGTTTCAAGGTTCTTCATGGTTTCTTAAAATAATGAAGGTCGTCGAATACCGAATAGCTAAGATTTTCATCATTGTTGTATACGTAGATGGTTGCGTCATCATTATTCACGAGGTTATCCCGTGCGATTCGTAATGAAACAGTCTTTAACTCTGACCACTTAATTCTAATAGTGTTATGAGTTTCTGCCTCTTAAAAGAAAATAGCCTTTGGTTAGGCACTAGTTACAAAACTAAAGATGTCTTCATAAGTTGAGTTTACTATTATTACTGTGAAAAGCCAGCATGAGATGTCGAATCACACAGTTTGCACGGGAAATTGTCGGACTTTGCCCCTTTCGTGGTTCATACGTGAGGGAGTTCGAGTTATTACCCTTATTGGCTCTTGCAACAAACATCCGAACGTACAAAGCCACAAAGATACATACGCTCACACCACTGACATATGAGCTATTTTTTCAAAATAGCTCAACAAAAGGGAAAAAAGTTATGTAATATTTCAATCAAAGAGGAAAAAATCACACCTATCAACGCAAAAGTATCGTTTTTTAAAGCTTTGAATACTTAGGGAATCCGTTTTGTTCCATAAACCAGTCAGCTGTCTTGGTTGCGGCATATAATATTGACATCGGTACATTCATTGGTATTATCAAGATAAAATAGATCGCGGAATACATGAGCCTGAATATTGTGTTAATTAACCGCCAAATCTGGTAAAGGTAAGCTCTTGTTTATCAAAATAACTGTGATAAAAGAGCTATCACAGTTCTATCAACAGATTTGGAAGCTTTCTTAGTCAAGTAGAGGTCTGAAGCAGTGTAGAAATGACTGTAAACAAACGGCCATCTTAGGTCAAGCACATGCTCAAAAGTTTGCCTGGTTACCAAGCATAATCATTGAAGGTCAAATGAACCAAAAATTCGACATTTTTCATTTTAGTTCAATTCTAGTGAAATGTGTTTAGTATGAACCAAATAAACATACTATGAAGTTTCAGCTCAATTGAAGCAAGTATCTCCGAGATATTCGCAATTAAAAATTGCTGTTTTTTCATCTTCGTAGAGCGGTCGCAAAAATTGTCGGAAAAAACAGCTTATGACGTCAATGTTGGTCAGGTGAAAAAAAGCGGGAAATTCAAAACAGAGTTTTTCGAGTCGACTTGGAGCAGAAGTGGTTTGTGCGGCCATAAACCTGGAAAGAACAGGCAATTTGTCTTCAAAAGTTGAAAGCTGTGGTTATAACCTTCTTATTATTTATATTTTCTCGAAGAATACATCATAGTAAAACGGACTTTAACGACATTTACTAATTTCCTTGAGTTGTATTGGAAATGTGCGTGCGTAAGTCCGATTTTTTTCAAGATGCATTCACAAAATGTGTTCATATAAGGAAGTTCCTGGATATATAAGGTCCGGAGCTCCACCGTGGACACAAAAACAAAATATCTTTGTATAATAATCTGCCCAAAGAAATTCAAGTTTGCCCACAATGTGTTTGAAGTCACTGAACTTTGTCGCACTCGAGCTGATATTTTAAAACCCACGCTCGATCGGACACTTCTAGCTTCGCAGATCACTAAAATATAAACAAAATCCTCAATGTAGAAGTTTTGGCGTTGATATGTGGGCAGAAAAAGAGTTAATCTTTATCGAGTAAATCTTCGCCAAGATCGGTTTCAAAGCAACCATAGTTTTTTAAACTTGATCTTTTCGCGCAAATTAATTTTGTTTTGTGTTGTCAAGTTGAACATGCATAACAACTGTTGAAAGCCTACGCGTAAGTAAGATCTCCTTCAAGCAAAGTTAAAGTTACATTATTGCAAAAACTTCTTTCCAATTATGTATAAGATTTAATTACCGATTGAGGTCACTTTAAGGACCCTAGAGGCCACTTTAAGCTGGCAAAGAGATGCGTCAAGCAAAGAACAGTTTTATCATGCATAAAATTCAGCTTAAGTGAACTAAAAAAAGCTTCAATAAGGTTGCAAAACAACGAATTTTCATTAAAATCTTATACCTGATGACAAAGAAGTAGTGATTTTTCTGTACGGAAACAACTTACCTAAAGATCTTAAAAGAAAAAGATCAGTTGCAAGCGTCGCAGCCAAGCCATGATTCCGACTACTTAGCTAGCTTAGCTACTTTTTTTTAGTAATAACTGGTCCATGCGAGGGTCTTCATTCAAGCAAATTAAACTCAGCGAACTGAATCATTAGAAAATACAGAAAATTGCACACAAGGATTTGTTTTGCTCGCTTCAGTCAAATCCAGCTCCAGCAATTGTTTACGGGCAAAGAGTCGATTGTTTTGGAGTCACTGCCGGTAGTTGTCGTTCTCCGCTACTTAGAGCGTGAGAAAGGAAAATTTGCTTACAGAAAGAGAACAAAACTATGTAATTAAAACTGAAAAAACTACAGGAAAAAAACTCCGACTATTATTACTTGAGCAACAGAAAAATGATCAAAGTAGTCGTTTCTTCTCGAGTAAGCTTGCTGGCCTTTTAAAGTTCCGGGGAAGTTTTAAGCGCTCAAGTTTGTTCAAGCGTTAGCATTACGGTTCTTTGACATAAGACAAGGATAAAGCTGGTTCTGCAACGGTAAATAAATCTGGGCATTTAAAAAAACTAACCGTAGCTACTAATAACAGAATACAAGCGGGTTTTAATTCAGTCCGACGAAAGAAGGCGAAGCACTGGACACAAAATCAATTCATAAATGCACAATTATCAGAAAAATACAAACCTCTTTGGAAATGTTCAAAACGTTTTATTCCTCTTCAGACTGACGGATGATCTTTTTTACTCTAACATTGGTTGTTCTGAATCCAAAGTAATTTTCAAGTGACGAAAAAACAACAACAACAACAAAAACCAAAAAAGCCTTTACAAGGAGCGAGAACAGAACAGAACTCTCACAGAACGCGACAAACAAACGCAGGCGATAATTGCAGGCGATAAGGGATGCGCAGAAGCTTGCGCAGAACGTTTTGCCGCCCTGAAAGACCAACATTGACGTCACGTAGTCTCCAGTCTATCACGCGGCCATTTCAGAAACGTTTTCGTGAAGTTTTCGGAAATGCTAGGATTTTGATCTTTTATCTTTCTATAAAGGCTTGGGAAGAAAAATCTTTACCCAAATCTTACTTAGGATGGTTCTTTTTAGTGTTTGGTGAAGGTAAAGCGACTAAAGAAAATATGTCAATTTTTTGGTTCATTTGACCTTTAAGTTCAAAATAATCAATGGCAGATGATTTGTTTTAAATGCAAGATGATTCGTTCATTTTTTAATACAGCCTTAAGAAGGTACTGTAGAAGTCATTGAAAACCGATAAGAAAGAAGAGGAATGAGCAGCTAGAGCTTTTAGAGTGAAAAATTTGACTCAATTTTGTTTTGTTGCCCGAAGATACTCGGTTATAAGCAACCTCGCCTGGGAACGAGGTTGGGTTATAAGACGCACCCCGAAATGACTATAGAATTAGAGCTATCAAGCAAACTTTGAATGAAAAAATGCTGCGCCTTACATGTATAACCGAAAAAATACGGTAACTACCCTGTAAAATTTAGAGGATTTCTATGCACCAAAACCGAGGAAGTTAAACTGATATAAAACAATTACATGAAATTAGCACAGTGATACATCAATTGGTGACCTTGTGAAATACATTGGATCATGTATCTTACGGGAGGTGTTGATCAAAGTATCAGCCTATATCTCAGCTGACTGTCGATATGTTGGCGACAGTCTTCGCCTACAGTCTATCGGTCAATAGTTCGCTGATAGCCGACCAATACTTTGCCGATGGATCACCAACAGGTGATAACCGAAAAGCTTGTAAATCACTCCCCTTCGGCTTGTGATTTACCACAGGCGACCCAAACTCACGTTACGAGGGAAGGGTGTAACCATAGGTGACGCGCCGGTGTCGCGTTACAGGCGACCGTTGAAAATATAAGAGACTTTGTTTGAGATATATATTACTGACATCTGCGAACGCTAAATAACGCTAAACTTTACTTTTTCTTAAATGAAATGAATAAAAAAGACTTACCTGCAATGTATTCCACTGCGTTTTGGTGTCTGTTTGTTGTTTTACTGTTTTTTTTTTTTTGGCTTTATTGCGTAACCACTGTTACTCCTTTCACAAAACGAAGTGAAGGCTGGTCACTTCGATCTGTCGGGGTCCTGGACCAGTCTAGCCTGCGTAGCAAGCGTTTCCGTTTGGTTTCGGAGCAAAGAAAGTGGGGGGAGGGGGAGGGGAAGGAAGGAAATGCTTGCGGACAAACCCCTTGATTTTGAAAACCTGCGTTCGCCAGCGGACGACATGACATGTGTCGATTAAAGGCTTGTTTCATACTGAGAGAACGGTATGGTACGTGACACGCATATTAATTTTCAGTGGTTGTTGTTTATTCTGGTCGGCAAGATTTGCCCTCCAATGCAAGAGCATTTTCTTTGACCTCTTTTGAAACGTGAGGTTAATGTTCTTCTTGCGACTAAATAAGGGTTTCAGGTCGTTTAATTTATTCTCCAAAGTGCCTCCTGGACCTGAATAACTAAAAGCGATATTCTTCTGTCCGCGAATGCGATGGTTTCCTGCAATGTGTCATGCTGGGCCCAGCTTGTTAGTGTATTTTTGAGGGATGTTGAATTCTCTCAGATGGTGATTTACAGACTGTTCTGTTAGACGGATTAAAAGGACAAATATCCAAAGCCTGTATTGGTGGTTCGGATTCATCGACATTCAACATAAACGCTGTCCACGTGTTACAAATACAAAAATAAATATATTTTGGGTTTACATACGCGTCCTCTGAGGTTCATTTCCGCTTCAATGAAAGCCAAACATTTTATTGGTCAATTATGACAACTGATGACAGCGTCAAATGTCGGTGCGCGAACTCAGGCATGAAGGGCAAGTGGGCGGTTTTCAAAATCCCGGGGTTTGTCTGCAAGCGTTTCCTTCCTTTCTTTCCCCACCGCCACCCCCTCCCCGCTCTTTCACTTACGCCATTTTTCGCGCGGTCTTTGACTCCCGTTCCTCGTTCTTTGCTCCTTAACCGCACGGAAACGCTTGCTACGCAGGCTAGGACCAGTCTCAACAAGAATGCAGTTGTTTTCGCCAAAATTCAAATCCACTGCAAACTTTTCAGCGCCAGCCCACGAGGGAAACCTCTTCTTGCTCTCTGGGAGATCAGCTCGAAAAGAGATCCATAATTTCCCCATCAAATCGAGCCATTTGTGCCGGACTTCGAGGCACGTCTGGCTTTTGTCCAGTGTCTGTGACCACTGTTGCGCTTACCAACTAATTTGCATTTTGATAATTAGCACTTACACGACGGGTGCCAGGGCGGAAATGACACGTCAACTAGGCTCTTGCACTGTTAGAAAAAGCGAGTGCT